ATCCCCACCTCCCCCACCCCCCCACCCCCCCACCCCCACACACACACACAGCTGAGCTGCCTCTGAGAGAGAAGGGCCTGTGTTCTCCTGAATCGGGTTTCCCTTAACATTTATCTGGCCCTGTTGACAGCTCTGAGACACACACACTATGCGGTTAAGAAAACTGAGAAGTCATTCATCGGCTCACTTCCCCAAGCCCACCACAAGCCTACACAGACTGAATGGTGCCCTCATCGCAAAGCTTCCAGGGCAGCCAGGGCACAAGTCTTCCCAAGTTCCCCTGGAGCTCCCCTCTGAATGCAGAAACCACCGCTCAGTTGCATGAATAAGCTTCATTCTAGCTTCTGCTTGTTGGGAGTGATTTAAACAGGCCTTTTTCTGTAATAAATACACTTCAACCCTCTCCTTTGTGTTTGTCCAGATTGTTTATTCTCTTACTGGTGGGCTGTTATGAACTCAAAGCACTTTACACAATCTTCTTTACACAATCTTACGTGCTGCATACAATAGGCACGTATTTAATTTAAAATGGGGAGGAAAATAGTCCCTCATACTCCAAGGGCCCTTTGTACATTTCAAAATACCAGTACTGTACCTGGCATCTGACTGGTTGTACCCAGTATCCTTCTATGCCAAAACCTCTAAACCAGTGGTAGGCAAACTCATTAGTCAACAGAGCCAAATATCAACAGTACTTCTTCAAAATAGACTCGCCCAGGCTGAAAACCGACTTCTGCACATGGACCACGAAGTTTCAACCGCACTGTACGTGCGCCCGCACGTGGTATTTTGTGGAAGAGCCACACTCAAGGGGCCAAAGAGCCGCATGTGGCTCGAGAGCCACAGTTTGCCGACCACGGCTCTAGACAAATCCAACAAAGTTCACTTTGAAATGGCTGCACATAATTATAAACCTGATGAAGACAGCATGGCAAATACTGAGGCCAGGAGGTATGGGGTGATCAGTTACACAAAAAGCTAGAAATAAACCTGATACTTTGGAATTGTCACTTCCAGATATCCATAAGAAGAAATTTTGCCTAAAAATGTTATCATTGAGTGGGAAAAAACGTTCATGTTTGTTGATACTGGGTAATGTATATGTAGTTTGTTACTATTCTACTTTGTGAGTGTTGGAAGTTTTCACCGTTATTTTTTTAAAAAATTATAAACTTATGGCAGAATTCTAAACAGCCCCAATGACCCATGCCTTTTTATGATTCCCTGCCCTTGAGTGTGGGAGAAATCAGTGAATATATCACTTCTGTGATTAGACTGTTATATGGCACAACTGACTTTGAAAATGGGAGATTACCCTCAGTGGGCCTGGCCTAATCAGTGAGCCCTTGAAAGGGGTGGAGCAGTTATAAATAAGTTATGGGGATGTAATATACAACATGGTGGCTACTATGCTGTATATTTGAAAGTCGCTGCCAGAATAGATCTGAAAAGTTCTTATCAGAAGAAAAGGCTGTAACTATGTGTGGTGATAGATGTTAACTACACTTATTGTAGAAATAATTTTGCAAATATTGAATCATTATGTTGTACACCTGAAACTATAAATATAATGTCAATTTTATCTCAAAAATAAAAATAATTTTAAAGCGAGGGTGGGGCTATTCCTGGAGATTTAAAGTGTGAGAGGGATTTGGCAGTGAATGTTCTGTCCCAGCTTTGAAGATGAAGGGGACCACGTGGCGATGCATGCAGGTGGCCTCCATTAGCTGAGAGTGGCCCCTCGCTGGTGGCCAGCAAGGAAATAGACAACTATCCTACAACCAAAAGGAACTGAATTCTGCCATGTGAGCCCGGAAAAGGACCCCAAACTCCAGCTGAGAACACAGTCTGGCTGACATCCTAACTTCAGCATTGTGAGAACTTTCAGGGAGACCCCAACCACAACATCCTTGGATTTCTGAACTATAGACATGTGAAATAAATAAACGAGTGTTGTTTCAGTCACCAAATTTGTGGTAATTTGTTATGCAGCAACAGAAAACTAAAAATATCAGACACACACACACACAGAACAGGGGCCAAAGAACAAGACCAAATGCCCTGTTTATTTACACTCTTTTATTAATAAAAACAACAGAAGGAAGATGAGGTTTCAATATTTTATTCAAGTTTTATTTTAAGTGATGTTAATTACAGCATTTGAAAGGGATGTTCTAATTCCACACAATGGAAGACTCTAAAATGTACCCATTAAACTGCTAAAAAACCGAGTGGCGAGAATACAACAGAAGTCTAATTTAGGTTCCGAGTGTTGTCACCATGTGATTACAGTCACAGACTCTTCCCAGCTTGCAGCTGGAGCTCTTGGAAGCTATTTCATACTCTGGTGCAAGGGCAAAAAACCACAACATGAGAGGGAATTAAGTCCTGAATTTATTGGCTTCATCACATCCACCTTCTCCACCCCAAAATGGCACAAAAGAAACTACCACACCCTGCAGACTACTTTTGGTGCAAAAGAGGTGATGGACCGGGGTGGAAACAGGTCTAAAAAAGTCCCATCAGATGAGTTTGTACACACCATCAAATAGTGAGCCTCTCTCAGTGAGGGTAGGACATCAAGATTCAATTCTCAGGAAGTCATAATTTCATACATTTAAGCAATACAAATTTACAAAGTGCTTACAAATCATCATCAGCTTCCACTTGCAGCCATTTCTCGATAAAAAAGAAACCTGACATCTTAGAGGGGCTGCCAAGTTCCCCCAAGTCTACAGCTGTGAGGACCTGCTTTGGAATCGGGTTTCTTCTGTACCTCTGAAAGGGTAACACCTTAAAGCTGAATCATCTTTAACCTGGAGGTCTAACATGATATTTAGCAATACTTGCATCCCAGACATACAACATTAAAAGGTACACTAAATTCTGAAGGTAGCTATGCTGCAAAATAGTTTAAAATTAAACAATTGAACAGTCTTCGTTTATGCTTGAAATTCCAGTCCTAGACCAAGCTTGTGGCCACCAGCATTGACATTCTTGCCATCCAGCAGAGCTGACAGCGTCAGTTTGATACCTGTAGGGGAAAATCCGGGAGATGAAAGGGGAGGGATGAAGAAAAGAAGAGAGAAGAAAAGTTAACACACGGAGGAATGTTGGAGTACCCTGGCAAAACCACACCAAATTCAAAACCTGTTCCAGCTGCGTGATCAGGGGCAAAACCACATGGCCCTTCAGTTACTCAATGCCATCTGCCTCATTAACAGATAGCCTGGAATGAGCTTATTCAACAATCACTATGATTCCACGCCTACCTAATCCACTCTAGGGACTCCACTTCCTTTTTCCTTTTATCGTCTCCTGCTACCACTCATCTCTACCATTGGCACCATGTAGTAAGCTTCTTCAGCAATAGCCCCTTGAAATGAAACCCCAATCATGAACCAGACACGGCGGTCTTACACTTGTGTGTACACACACACACACACACACACACACACACAATACTGATATTTTCCCTAGAACAGCTTGATTCTGACATCATGTTATCTTAGATTTCCAGGGTTCAAAGGCCCAACCTATTCAAAATAACCCCAAGGGGCTGGCCTAGCCAACTGTGCAGAGGAAACCTGCAAACCAGTTTTACCATGAGGACAACTTAGGGGCTAGTTTTAAGAACCTGCTGGAAATTAGTATCAAGCATTATGTACACTGAAAGAAAAAAGGATGGAAGAAAACAACCAAAATTCTAACATGTTAACTTTGCTCTTCTCTCCTACTTACTACTTCTCCTATTCTCCAACTCTATACTAATAAAAGGGTAATATGCTAATTAAACCGGACATCTTCTGGACAAAGCCATGGTGGCAGGGGCCAAGGCAGAGGCAGTTAGGGGCAATCAGGTCAGCAGGGGAGAGCAGTTAGGGACGATCAAGCCAGCAGGGGAGGGCAGTTAGGGGTGATCAGGCCGGCAGGGGAAGGCAGTTAGGGGGCGATCAGGCCGGCAGGCAGAGATGGTTAGGGGCAATTAGGCCAGCAGGGGAGCAGTTAGGGGCATCAGGCTGGCAGGCAGAGGCAGTTAGGGGCAATCAGGCAAGCAGGCAGAGGAGCGGTTAGGAGCCAGCAGTCCAGGATTGGAAAGGGTGCAGGCTAGACTGAGGACCCACCCCCCTCCATGCACAAATTTCGTGCACCGGGCCTCTAGTGTTTTATAATGACTGCATACCTCTATAAACATTTCATTATAAAACTTTATAGACACTCATTTGCAATGTACTATGCAGGCATTTTGTAAGCAATAACATAAAGCAGCAAACAAGAACCACAATATTTTTTAAGACAAAGAACTAATTTCACATACAACACATACCTGGCTTTAGTGTCTGGGTGTATCCTAACCCTATCAGGCTGGAGTTGTTCACTTTAGCCTAGTCAAGGAAAACAGAAGACACAGTAAGAGCTTTTTAATCAACCAACTCTAAACTTAGAATCATATTCTCTTTTTTCGTGACTACTTTGTTTATGGGATTCATTAAATTCACTAGGAAATGTATCAAATTTAGGGAGACTGGGTCTCAGAAGGGAAACTCAAAGAGTCAACGTGATTTTCAATGAAAAGGACGCTATTATATACATTTAATTCCTGAATGTATGAATGCCCAATTTCACTTATACAAGGAGGTCTGTAGTCAAGTTATAACAGGTGAGGACACTTTCATTTATGGGCCCTGAGATAACAGGCTCTCTTAAAATGGGAGACTCTTCAAGATTTATTTGTTGGAATGAGGAAAAACAGCAAATGTGAGATGGGGTTTTTTGAGGCTTTTTTTTTTTTTAGGCAGAAAACACCATTAGAATTTTTCTCAAAAAAAAAAAAAAGAATTTTTTTCTTCATGAAAAAGAGAAGCAAAAATCTACTGACAATGAAGAAAGTTCAGCACTGACAAGCCCGAGTGTAAAATGGATATTGGAGTAAAAGAATGACCTAGCCAATCACCTCAATGTCAGCAATTAGCGAATGTTCATTAATAATTAAGTTCAGTAAAGCAGTGAGTCCATAGTAATTTTGCCCTCATTCCTCTGCCTGAGTTGTGGGGAAATCCAGGCTGCTCCATGACCCCTTTCTCTAAAAGAAGGAGGGGTCAGGAGCAGAGCTCAAGCCATGAGAACACCGAGTCCTGGTAAAAGCGGGTGCATGTTTCCCTGTTCAAATGCTATTTTCAGACCTGACATCTCCCGTCAGAAAGAGCAGAGCAGGGGACAGGAAGGCCGCCTGGCAGTCAGTGCCCCATCTAGCTGCTCCTTTTTGCTCATGTCATCCAAAGAACAAGGCCTCCTTCCTTTGTTTTATCTTTTTTCTTCTTTCCCCCCCCCCCTTTGTTTTTACATGCCTAACACAAAAGGAGCCAAATTCAGTTCCTATTTCAAGAGACTTGAAATGGGCTGTCTGTAATTTATACAAACCAGCCCAGAAACCATACTGCAACATCCTGAAACCACTCAAAAGGGGGTGCCGCCAGCAGTGCCCTGTGACAACAGAGATGGAGCTCGACAGGATTTAACATGAAAACTCTGCAGCAACCAAGAGCCCATGAGCAATGCTACAGGGTCTGCAAGGTAAGAGGCCCACTGCCCAGCACCAGGGCCTGTCTTCATAATGTGCAATATGGGAGCTGGGCTAGAGAATGACAAACGCGGAGGGAAATGAGCACTTAGAGCCTTAGTGTTCAAGGGAACCCCTTTCTAGTCTGCAGCATGGAACCGGAACTGGTTAGAGAAGAGGCACCTTAGCCAGCCAGCCGGGGTCAAACCCAGGCCCCGCACTTACCCAACGTCTGCCCTTGGGCAACTTACTCAACTTCTCACTTGATCTTGGCCAAAAGTCCCAGAAACCATTACTTACTCGACTTCCCTAAGCTCCCAGTTCCTCATTTGTGATAACAGGGATGGCATGATTTCTAAAAAAGGCACCTACTTCAAATGGGTTGTGTAAGAATTAAACACAGTAATCCACCTATCAGGGGCTCCACACAGCGCCTGGCATCCACAATAAGTACTATTACGGTTAGCAATTTCATTATTTTGAACTCTTTTCACAGTGAGAAAATCTCTAGCCAGTGCATCGAACCCCAACAGTCGGGAATGACTCCAACCTAAGGTCAGGGGGGGCCTAGGTGAGGCATGATTTCACGGGTACCCACCGAGAAGCAGGCTTCAGGGTCGATCTGATACTTGGCTGCTATTCCAAAGCGAGTGTTACTGTTTCCTGCTGTCCAGGCGAGATTAACGGCGGTCTCCAACTTCTTATTCACCTTCTGATAAATGGAGCCACCAAACTCCGTCCCGTCGTTCCTGCAAACAAGCACAGCACGGATGCCGAGACGCCCGGGAAGGCAGGCTGGCGAGGGGCAGAGCTGCCCACATCAAACCGAGGGCAGGGAGGCTGTAAAAGGACTCACCTGCTCACAAAACAAGTACCAAATTACAGGAAGCCCGATAGGAATGGAACAGACACCAGCGTCGGGAGGTTCGGAGCAAGGGCGGCTATTTCAACCATCGCTGGGAACACCCAACGGCAGCTCAGTCAAGCACCCAGGCCCCACTGGACTTGAAGTTTGCTTCTAAAATACTCTTTTAGATGCAGCAACTAGGGCATTGGGATTCGGGATTCTGAGTGATTTCTCTTCTGCTGCTAAAGTTATTACTTTTTTAAAGGCTTCTATCATAAAAATGGTAAGGGAGGGGGAGCAAATGAGAGGAAAACACAGCCAGGAGTGGCAAGCGAGGCCGGGCCAGGGTTCCTCAGAAGTCAGGTTACATAGCCTTTAGCACCACCAGCGACAGCCACTGCTCGGGGACACAGCCAGAACTGAGCCAGCCCCTTGGAAGAGAAGCGACTGCAAGAGCTCAACCTCTGGTTCAGGCTGGTCCACCTGTGCATACTGCTGGTCCATGCAGCAACATCGATCCCGGTGGGATCTGAAAAAGAGCTACTTGCTACTGACAGAATGTTTCTGGTCTTTCAAGATGGAATGAAGCCCAGCTGGCTAGACTCCTTCCTCTCTTCCAAACACTCCATATTGACTCCGGCCTCTGGCAATATAGACCCTTCCCCTCCCTACATTTTCAACATAAATAAACACTGTCAAATTTCTGCCTCATCATCTTGGATGTTTCCAGTGGAAATGACATTGGAAACTGTTAAGGCAGAGGCCGTGTGCTTTAGAATCCAGAGCTTAGAACTCACTAACCCAAGAATAAATTGTTACTCTTTCATTTCGAACTCTGCTTTTCACCAATACACTCTCCCTAAAGTAGGTGCTCATTAAATACATTCTAAATTCTCACATTTTCCCCTGAAATTCAGAATTGTTACTTCCAGAAACAACAGGAACCACCTGACTTGAAACCCTGACTTCTTCAGGAAGTCTGAGCATGCTGCAAAACAGCAGCTTGTCAAAAGTAACAGATGTGAGTGACTTTGGTATAACTCAAAAGGGGATATTTTCTTGGTCTTAAATGTTTTCCAAAAAGTGTCATGTTTTTCTATATATTCTAAAACCAGTAACACAGCCTTCCCTTACTGAGTTCTCAAAACCATAAAGAAAGGGAACTCATTCAAATGCATCTCTATGAAGCACAAAGAGTGTCTGTTAGACGTCTGGGGCTCTGTAAGCACAGGCTACCCAGACCGGCTGTGTCAGCTGATCCCATGCCAGGTCCCAAAATAAACCATGTCCACTTCTTAAAAATCGTGAAGTTCAGGTACATGGGGAAAACAGCAAACAACCATTGTCCTTCCTAACCTGGTGCCAATTCCCAATTCCAAACCAAGGGACCACTTTCCATTTCAGTCAAAACGGTAAATTAAAAAACACTTCTATGCTTGTAGTATTTTCCTATTTCTTGTATGTTACCTTTTTAAATGTATGTAACCTTTTTGCCCCTTCGTTGGTGTACATTTCTATGAGTTTTATCACATGTACAGACTCATGTGACCACCATCACAATCAGGATACAAACAGTCCCATCAACCCAAACTCCCTCGTGGCACCCCATCGTCGTATGAATAATATTCATTTATTATATTACATTACTTAATTATAAGAAATTCCCTCAAAAAAATGAATTAATGGAAATGTGATTCCTTTATGAATAATATTCATTTATTATATTACATTACTTAATTATAAGAAATTCCCTCAAAAAATGACACTAATACCATTTACTTGTGTTTAAGTTTCAGAAGTCTCTTCTTGAGTGACCTCTAGTGGAGAGAAATAAATTGAGTAAAGTTGCACCCCACCGGTGCCACAGGTTAGCTCCTCATGTCCCACCGGGATGTTATGGATGAAATATTTGTTTCCCTTCACCTAAATCAGCACTGCAACTCTCAAGTTTGATGACAAGGGGCTCTCTCTAACCCAACCCGTAATTTCCTCTTCCCTTCACTCTACTGTCCAGAAGTTAGTAAACTTTCCAATGCTCCACCATGCAGAGGACACTCTGTACTTAACTGAGAAAACCATCTCCTAATTTGTCTCCCTTCCTGATCCTCACAGGCAACATACGGAGAAAGAGAGAGCTGCACCTTTTCCTACCCTCTTTAACTAAAACCAAAAGGCCCTCCGATGCCCGTAAATCTGCAGGGAAGGGACAGGCCTCTGGACTGACAGCACACCGTCCTTCTGTGTGTACCAGCGACAGCATTTACTGTTCACTGAATACAAAGACCCCAAGTCAGGTCAGGAAATGGGTAGGTAGGAAACAGTCCATTCGGTTCATCTGATTACAACAAACTCACTGTACGGTGACTAAAAACTGAACTTAGGAGTCATCATGAAGAGCAATCCCCCTGCTGCACACACTCGCACGCCCACTCACATGCACTTACACATTAGTGTGAAGCTGGAATTCATCGGTCTTGTAGCCAACCGCAAAGTTGCTCTGGGTCACTCGAGACTTCGCCGTCTCAAAATTCATCTGGTAGCCAGCCAGCCAGCCCTCATAGCCCAGCACCAGGGCACCCCGGATCGAAGGCCCGGCCATGTCGAAGTCCACGTCGCAGCCCAGGTTGATGTGCTCCCGCTTGTACCCTGTCTTGATTTTAGCATTTTTTTTCCTGAAGGAAAAGAGATTGTATTAAAATCAGGAGCTAACTCTCCTTGTGACAACCATGCCGAAAAATGCAAAATTAAAAAAAAAATCCCAGTTTAAATGGGGGGGCGGGGGGAACCCGCACAGAAATAGTCCCAAATCTCCCTTAAGCAGCTGCTGTGCCACAATAGGCCGATGTCATCCATCAAATCCAGGCTGCAGAAATAATGAAGTGAGCACACAAGCTTGAAAATCGCACGAGTCATTTTCTTTTACTTCCTCTCCCTGTGTCTCCTGTGGTGGCCTACACAGGCATTTATTAGGTAGAGCGCCATCATGTAATTATGAAACAGGTGTGTCTGCTGTTTTCCAAGACTGGTAAAGAAGGCACTATCTAAACAGCAGATCCCTTTTGTTGTTGTTAATCCTCACCCGAGGATATTTTCCCATTGATTTTTAGAGAGAGTGGAAGAGAGAGGCAAAGACAGAAAGAAACATTGATGTGAGAGAAACACATCGATTGGTTGCCTCCTGCACGAGCCCTGATCAGGGCCCGGGCCTGGGAGGAGCCTGCAACCAAGGTACATGACCTGGACCAGAATCGAACCCCAGACCCTTCAATCCGCAAGCCGACACTCTATCCACTAAGCCAAACCGGCTATGGCTAAACAGCAGCTCTTTAAGGAGATGGTCTGGTCATCTTCTTACTTGGTGGCTCACTTAAGTAAAAAAGAAACAAACACTAGATCTTGTCTAAGTAAATACAACAGCTTTTAATTAGTATTCATGAGACCACAAGCAGAACTCGGCACAGATACAGAAAAAAAGAAACAAACACTAGATCTTGTCTAAGTAAATACAACAGCTTTTAATTAGTATTCATGAGACCACAAGCAGAACTCGGCACAGATACAGAACCTAGGACCCTGCAGTCACAGGGCAGGAAGACCCCAGGTCTAGTCTGCTGATCCCAGGCTGTGTAGGACCAGGTCCGTGCCGCCCCTGCCTATGATTCAAGACCCAGCACCCCTCAGGACGGGCAGGTGAGTTGTGTCACCTGCAAATATACTGTCACCAGGCCTTTTACCAAAAGTCAACACTGGAGACAAGGTCACATCTATCAAACAACATGTATACTCTTTACACCTGATTGTTTCTGTCATTGAGCTACAAAACGGACATCTCTCACAGACAGCAAGCTGCATTCTCAGCAGAGATCAGGGGAGAAACCAGATCTGTCAGAGGCCCCAGGACTTCACAGCCCTGTCCACCCCAGAGTCATTCACACGGAGACTGAAGCCTCCCCAGCACCTGGCCTATGGGTGCTAAGTATCATTCCCTCCTAAAAGGAACCAGTGCTCCTCAGAGAAAGAGTCGATTATAGGTCGCAGGAAATGTGCAAGGTGAGCTTGAGGCATCTATCAAAGCCTCAAGGACAGAGGCTGGGGCAAAAGGACTTGAGAGACTCCCAAGGGCTTAAACAAGGGGCAATGGGAGCATCGTAAACAGTAATATCGGCAGCCCTGGCCAGTGTTGTTACGTGGTTAGAGACCTGGCCCGTGCACAGAAGGATCAGAGGTTCGATTTCCGGTCAAGGGCATACCTGGGTTGCAGGTTCTTGATCCCCGGCCCCGGCAACCAATTGATGTGTCTCTCTCTCATCTCTCTCTCTCTTTCTTCCCCTTCCCTCGTTCCCTTCCACTCTCTCTTAAAAAAAAAAAAAAAAAAGTAATCTCAGCAATAAATTGAAATATATCAAATATGTTTAAATCTATTAATTCATAACAACAAAACACACACATTCGTCAGCCTTAGAGGCTAGAGAACCAATTTGTAATTTTGAAGAGATTAAATAAAAAAAGGAATTAAACATTTATTCTACCTTTCATATAGTAACTATATCTCATATAGTAACTATAACTAAATAGTTGATGAGAAGTTTCTCTTCAATAAAATATTCTAGCTAACAAATGAAGAAGGAATTATCACTAATTTGCAACCCTTAATGAGTGGGTTGGCAAAAAATGAAATTCATAATGCCACTGAATTGTACACTTAAAGGTGGTTGAGATGAATGGCGCTAACATGCACGGAGAAAACCAGGCCTTCTTTGCGCATCCCAATGGAATTTCGTACAGTACCGTGTATTTTAGTACCACCCCCATGGAATGTAAACATGATGAAGCCTCTAGACCAGTGGTTCTCAACCTTCCTAATGCCGCGACCCTTTAATACAGTTCCTCATGTTGTGGTGACCCCCAACCATAAAATTATTTTCGTTGCTACTTCATAACTGTAATTTTGCTACTGTTATGAATCGTAATGTAAATATCTGATATGCAAGATGTATTTTCATTGTTACAAATTGAACATAATTAAAGCACAGTAATTAATCACAAAAACAATATGTAATTATATATGTGTTTTCCGATGGTCTTAGGCAACCCCTGTGAAAGGGTCGTTCGACCCCCAAAGGGGTCACGACCCACAGGTTGAGAACCGCTGCTCTAGACTTACAGGAAATATGGGGGATATCTAGTTTTAACAAATAAATTGCAAGGGGAAAAAACAGAGAGGAGAATCCAAAATTAGGAGCCATATAAACCAATTTTTGCAATTTTGCACGGACAATTTTTGATTCTATAAAAATCATGCAATTTGAACAGACTGGAGATTTACCCATATTAAGGAATTGTGATTTTTTTTCACAATGTAATGATATTATAGTTATGCTTTTGTAAAAAGGAATCGTAATAAAAGTGTAATATGCTAATTAGACCGGATGTCCTTCCAGACAACCTTCTGGACAAAGCTGGGGCTGCGAGGGAAGCCCAGGTCTCGGGTGCCAAAGGGAAGCCAGTGCCAGCAGCCGGGGGAAGGAAGGCCTACTCTTGCATGAATTTCGTGCATCGGGCCTCTAGTATTAAAATATTTACAAATGAAATTGTGTGATATATTATTTGCTTCAAAATAATCTGCAGGTGGGAGGGATTAATTATGGATGCATAAAGAAAACATAGGCCTGACCGGTTTGGCTCAGTGGATAGAGCATCGGCCTGCGGACTGAAGGGTCCCGGGTTCGATTCCGGTCAGGGGCATGTGCCTTGGTTGCGGGCGCATCCCCAGGAGGGGGTGTGCAGGAGGCAGCTGATCGATGTTTCTAACTCTTTATCTCTCTCCCTTCCTCTCTGTAAAAAATCAATAAAATATATTTTTTAAAAAAAAGAAAACATGGGTTGATGATTCTTAAAGCTGGATGATAGGAACATGATAAGGGTTTAATATATTTTTCTGCATTCTTTTGTGTGTTTAAATTTTTTCATAATAAAAAAACTGAAGGTTAAACGTCCCAAGTCCTCAATGAGACAAGAATTCCAGAGGTCATAGTTGAAAATAAGGCCAACACCCTTCCCAAGGGACACTGACACCTGCAACTTTCCTTCAAGTGGCTTCTGCACATTTTCACAAGCTTTGAAGGAAAGGCATAACCCCCAAACCAATTCTCTCTCGATAAGAAAAGCTCAAACCTATTTTGGTGTGTCTGCTCTTTGGGGGAAGAAACCTGGATTTGGGCCAAGCATCTATCTGGCACCAGGCTGGGTAGAATGATTGATGAAAAGACAGCTGCTCAGGGGCTGACATTTAGATAGAGAGAGAGACCAAGAAATGTAAAAAGTGGGCACCTCGTAACAACTAGGTGAAAAGCTGCTGCTGACCACAAAGTGTGAGGCCTGGGGCAGGGCCTCTGACCACTGGTGTGCTCCAGCTGCCCTGACCGTGTACCCAGCACCTCCAGTGTCGCCCTGGGTTCTGGCCAAGGACACAAGGTCCCCGGAGAATGGGCAGTGCTGGGGCAGTGATTCAGGTTTCTCTCCAGGCTTCTGATCTAATGAAGCATTCCACTGCTCGCTGTTTAAACAGTGTGCTAATTTGACAAGCACCTGAGAGGGGCATGACCCTGATTTGTGGTTAACAAGCTGGCTGTACCTGTGTTAGGTACTCAGTGTGGGTGCTGGTCCCTAGATGAAGTCTGTAGCTCATCCAGATGTGGTCTACACTCCGCTTCTCATGGAAGCCAGGATGCTTTCCCAGACTATAACCCTCAGGCACTTTGGAAAGCCAGCTTCCTTTCCAATCTCCATCCAGTCATCAAAACTTTCCTCAGATACCAAGTAGAATGTGTACACCTTGCGCCCACAATCTTAGTTTCAAAACACCCTTCTTCAATTAAAGAAACCAAGGGTTTTTGGAGAAATGGTTGACAGCAAGACTAGGGAAGAGCAAGCAGCAGCTGAGTCTGGAGTATCTTCTGAAGAAGCACTCAAAAAAAAAATGACAGAGGTTTGTCCAAAATACATAAGTTATCAACTTGAAGGTGCTCCCAATGGCCATATCTGGGGGCAATATGGGTAATAAAATAACAGTAATGGATTATAACCCATAGAATAAAATTTCATGAATGCATACTGATATAAATAAATAATTGGTAAAATAAATAAATGGAAAAGAAAGAAAAGCTCTTCCTCACAGTAGAATCCCAATTAATCAATGCAGAAGGGATGATGGGAACAGGAAATCACCATCTGCCAACCATAATTGTTGCAGGCAAGCATCACCAATGGATACTAACATTTGTGAGTCAAAGTATAAGAAACAGAACGTTAGCATAGTCTCAAAGTATCTCCCCACAAGATACTTACTATTTACCAAGAGAAAAATAGTAGCTTTATAGAGAAACCAGGCAAACACCACTTTAACTAAGTGATGCAAGTCTGTGTCGTGTCACCAGTAGTGAGTCATACTGACATACGTATACCTCCTGATATCACACAACACAGCAGCACTTCTATGGTTGTCAAAACTGCAGAACCTGAGGTTAACTACGAGGAAACATCAGACAAATCCAAGTTGAAGAATTCTACAAAACAACTGGCCAGTCCTCTTTAAAAGTGGCAAGGTCACGAAAGACAAAGAAAGACTGTTCCAGATTAGAAGAGACAAGGGAGACTTGACAACTAGATGCAATGCAGTTCCCTAAACTGGATCACGGACCTCAAATAAGACACCAGGTAGTTAGCAGCAACATAATTTCCTGGTTCTGATCATTATGGTTCGGTAAGATGCTAACATTAGGAGAAGCTGGGTGAAGAGTATAAGAATATACATTTTTGTATATGTTAACTATAAAATATTTTGAAATAAAAAGTTAAATAAAAACTTTCCTCGTTATGTGTATTACTGTAGGACCCAGAAACTTCTCTGCAAAACTCCCAAAGGTAGTAGGAAATCCCTTATAAATTCCAAAGTGTGCCACCTAGGGCAGGGGGCAAAGTCCTAGGCAGCAGAGTCAAGCCTGTGGGCAGGTCCAGCAGCCCCTTATCCTATCAGAGGCTTCCTCTGGGCACTTTCTCCCATCAGGGCAGGGTGCGGTGACAGGAAGTGGACCGGCAGGAAGCCAATACTCCTGCAGGAGAAACTCCAGCAAAGATAAGAACAAGAGTCAACTCAGCTCCTAGCCAATGGTCTTCAGATCATCCATAACCAACTTATAAGAAGACTATAACCTCCAGAGGCAGGAGCCCTGTCCACCCGGCCCCTTGTAGTCATCCTGCACCAGGTTTGCCAGGTTTCTCTAAAAAGCTACTATTTTTCTCTTGGTAAATAATAAGTATCTTGTGGGGAGATACTTTGAGACTATGCTAACATTCTGTTTCTTACACTTTGACTCAAAATATTAGTATCCATTGGTGACGCTTGCCTGCAACAATTATGGTTGGCAAATGGAGATTCCTGTTCCCATCATCCCTTCCACATTTATTAATTAGGATTCTACTGTGAGGAAGAGCTTTTCTTTCGTTTCCATTTATTTATTTTACCAATTATTTATTTATATCAGTATAGGTTCGTGAAATTTTATTCTAAACTCAGCAGATTCTCCCTCTAATAAACACGTGTCAAGGGGCTGTGGGTAGTAAAGGGTAAAGGGGGCCAAATATAAAGAGACAGAAAATGACTTGACTTGGGGTGTGGGCACACAATGCAATATATAGATCATGTATCATAGAAATGTACACCTGAAACCTGAACAACCTTACTAACCAATGTCACCCCAGTAAATGTAACATAAAAAAAAAACACCACTTGAAGAGAAGGGGAAAATAAGATGGAATGGCAAGCCCTGGCTCGTGCAGCTCAGTTGGTCGGGCATCATCCCATGCACTGAAAGGTTGCTAGTTCGATTCCTGGTCAGGACACATGCCCAGGTTGCAGGCTTGATCCCCAGTAGGGGGCATGGAGGAGACAGCCAATTGATGTTTTGCTCTCACATGGATGTTTCTCTCTTTGCCTCTCCCTTCATCTCTCTCTCTAAAAATCAATTTTTAAATGAATTATAAATTTAAATTTTAAAAAAAGATGGAATGGCAAAAAATGAAATTCATAATGCCACTGAATTGTACACGTAAAGATGGTTGAGATGGTAAATTTTGTAAGCATATTTTACCACAATTTTTTTTAATTTTTTTTTTTAATTGAGTCAGAGAGGAAGGGAGAGGGAGAGAGAAATAGAAACACCAACGATGAGAATCATCGATCAGCTGCCTCTTGCACGCCCCACGCTGGGGATCGAACCTGCAACCCAGGCATGTGCCCTTGACCGGAATTGAACCTGGGACCTTTCAGTCCACAGGCCGACACTCTATCCACTGACCCAAACCGGCTAGAGCAGTGGTCGGCAAACCGCGGCTCACAAGCCACATGTGGCTCTTTGGCCCCGTGGCATGGGCCACAAAGTTTCCATCGCACTGCACGTGCACGCCCGCACGTGGTATTTTGTGGAAGAGCCACACTCAAGGGGCCAGTTTGCCGACCGCTAGGCAAGGGCATCCACAATTTTTTAAAACTAAAATATGAAATTCAGTACATGCCCTTGAGCCTGCTATCAGCATGCAAAATACCCTTCCCCAGGTTTGGGAGACCTGCTGCTCTGTGCAGAAAGAAACAAGAGCGTGTTCTAGAAGAGAACAATTCCAGCCACTGTGAAAAGTGCCCAGCGGAGGAGGCCGACCAACACACCATCTTGCCTCCTGATGTGCCCAGTGACCATCAAGCCTAATTTGTTTGTGGCTGGAGAGCCTGGGGCAAAAAGTGTAGCCGCAGGAGCCACCTTGCGGTTAAGCCCACACACTGTGTGTCCCTAGGACGCGGGGAGAGGGCCCAGGCCTGAAAAACGGGGCTGGCACCAGAGATCAGTCAGCCCTGCTTCCAGACGTCGCCCACTGCCCTGAGCCTCGGCCACTTGCATTACCAGCAGCCCCACTGGCATGAACCGGAGCGTAACTGGACCAGAAATCCTGCAGCCCCCGCGGCTGAGGCCAGAACAAATGCAGCACAGAATCTTACTATAAAACACAGCCAAGTGTCCTTGCAGAGAAAACAGATGAGATTCTTACCCAGTGTTTGGGGAGAAGGATGAATCAAAGGTCAGCTTCAGTCCACGTGCAAGCTGAACGGAAAAGAAATTCGCCAGTAGGTTTAGTCACGAGGCAGGCTAGCAGATGCCAATTAACAACACTGTCTTTCCGCGGGTTACCTGGTCTTCCACAGTAATCTCCGTGCCTAGCGTGTTGTCCGTGTTCCACTTCTCCGTAAATGTCAGGCCATACTCAGTCCACCTGTACTTGGTTTCCAGACTGCCTGCCACTTTGGTGGTCTCGGTGTTGGCTGAACCTGAGCTTGTAAATTCCTTTGAAGGAGAGAGAGAGTCACAGCCTGCGTATCAGCACTTCACTTTACATCCTTCCAACCCTAACCAGACTGTGCTCCCTTTATGCAAGAGGGGACACCCTGCATGTGTGGGGCAAAAGGTAAAGCTATAACTCGTTTAGATATGCAAGGAACAGAGGGGGCTAAAGAAACCTGCAAAGTAAGAGAACCTATGGGTGATTCCTTATCAGCAGACAGCGTCCTTCCTCCCCAGTAACCAGCAAGCATGTCAAACTCAAAGGCTAACATGGACCAAATACACGAGGCATGCGGCCTGCAGGCCGCGAGTTTGACACGCTTGCTGTGCAGGAAGGCACTGCTCCTTCCATCCTGCCTGCAGCCTCGTAAAGCAAGAAAGCACTGAGCTAACGCTGACGGTGCAGTAATTCAACCCCAAAACGTCTTCCTTCCAGCAACTACCACAAGCACAATCTAAAACAGGCTACTAAGATTTTTTGAAATAATTATGTGGCATTAAATACAGATCAATTTTAAAATAAAACTGACACCTGCCCCATATACCTGGGAGTGTTAACAGCTGCCAAACTAAGGACCTATTAGTACGGTTCCCCTGGGCCACCCATTCCACAGAGGATGCAGTAAGTGTGACAACTACAAACTGCCACAGACGAAAAAGTCCCTTCACTGGACTCTGCACCCAGAACACAGCAGTTATTTATTGATCTACAATAAACACCCATGCTCCATGAGGGTCAACTTACCAGTCCGCTCTCAGATTTTGTTTTCAACTCAAGCTTTATTAAGCCAAATCCTAAAGAAAGAAGATGGTAACTGTTAATAGGTTAGCTCAGTAACCGAGAGCAGCATCTCTGCCTCCCTTATGCTATTTCAAAGTGGCATGAGTGCCGAGAGCACCTGTCTGCACGGCCGCCTGCCTGGGTGCAGAGCTCAGCTGCCATGGCGCAGCGGCAGGCAGACAGGCACACACCTGGCCCCCACCTGCGCTGCCAGCGGAGTCGGAGAAGAAGGTGCATGACCGCGTGGGCACATGCCTAAGGATGGGCTAAATTTAGAACTCGCTCTCCACTGCGGCAGCATCCACAGCTGCTGCACACCTGGGAGAGAGAACAAGAATGTCCACCTGTCTGCAGCAGCTCATGAGGCTGCCCCTACTGGGTGCACCACCAAGACTGCCTTCCTAGCCACAGGGAGCTGATCCTTTTTCCTGGGTGTGAGCGTTCTGAGAGCTGACTGACCCAGGTCTCTCTATGATGGGCAAAATCCCAAACATGCCCATCCAGTCCGTGAGCTGGGAGGCCGCCCCACGCAATACTCACCATAGCCCTTGGTGAAGACGTCCCTGGCGGACTTGCCAAGATCGATATACGTGGGAGGCACAGCCATCTTCTGCTACAATAAAAGAACCACCAGAATAAATACATTGATAATTATGGAAATTAGCTTTCCATTAATAAAATTATTAGATATAATGAACCACCAATAAAAAGCACCAGCACCGAATTCCAGGTGCCTTGTTCTCTCAGGTGTGGACAGAAGCCTGTGCTGTCTCATGCTCCTTTTTGTGGCCAGAGTGTGAGACACCCAGTAAGCATTTGTTGACAGCAGAGAGCCCGACTTCAGACCCCTTCTCCTCGCCAGCCCAGCCGAGCACAGGCCCAGCGTATAGGAGTCAGTAAATATTTGCTGAATGAATTTATTGTCAAAGACACATTGCCATGAGCCAGCTACTTTACTGAATTGCAGAACTCTTGCCAATAAAAGATATCATCTTACAAAATTTCAACTGCTAGAGCATTAAATCCCCCAGAATAGAAATCAGAGCTTTTCATGGCAACCTATTTTCCATATGGGTCTTGATTTCCTTAATTCAACAAATATTTTTTTAATATATTTTCACTGATTTCAGAGAGAAAGGGAGAGGGAGAGATAGAAACATCAATGATGAGAGAGAATCATTGATCAGCTGCCTCCTGCACGCTCCCCACTGGGGATCGAGCCCACAACCCAGGCATGTGCCCACAACCGGAATCGAACCGGGGACCCCTCAGTCCGCAGGCCAACACTCTATCCACTGAGCCAAACCGGCTAGGGCTCAACAAATATTTATAGTGTATCTAATATGTGCCAGAATGGACCCAACTTTTCACGAAACTTTTGCATTTTAGAGGAACCCACTTTTAGAGTATCAGACTCCTCACAGAGAATAGAGTGAACCTTAGGCAACTCTTCACATGAAAGGCCATGCAAGCTCATCTCCCCCAAAATTTTAATTCAAACATTTAGTGAGCACCAACGTGACTTTATTTTTTAAAACCAACTATCAAAGTACTAGTTGGGATTGTTGCTTATCACTAAGTCAGTCAAAAGCATTTATTTATTAAGCACCATGGTATTTAAGGAAGGCAAGTCATTCAAACAATCCTTGCCTCACAGACCACACCACATCCCTAAAAGGACACACTGTGTACACAGAATTAAACGCCTAGCGCCAAACAGCATCATCTTCTGCATCTTCTCCTCCCCAAAGTCTTTAGCCAGGAACTTAATTGACCAGAGGATGGTTGCATTAATTTGTGAAATGCAGAGTACCTAAATAACCAACTGCTGCATACACCCCATCTGAACTCACATTCACTCACACAAATGAACACCGACATGGCACGTTCCTGGTAAGGGGGACCCCCTGAAAAGTGGCCCAAGGGACCCCCGGGGAACAATATCGCAATCGAAGTCCCATTCCTGACCAAAGCCACTGCAAACACATTACAGGGAGCCCACAAAACCAATGAGCACTTTGCAAAAGAAACAACTATATAAACTTATAATGTAAAATTGTGGTCCAGGTCCTATATTACTCTCTTCAGAGGTTCTGCTCATTCTGTCAGAACCCAGTTTGCTGTCAGAGCAGAGAGCAGCCCAGTGAGCTGCTTACACTATCCCATTCTTGTTGCTGTTATTTCTTACACATGATCAGTCCGGAACCATGGGCAGTTCAGTCCACATTAGGGTCAGGGCACAAAGAACCCGGGAGAAGAGCCATTCTAGGCTGTCCCCACAGGCTCTTTCAAGTCTGGAGACTCCCCTTCCACCCCAAACAAACCCCATAGGCATGCCCACACCAGGGACAGACCAGGAATCTATGCCCCAGGTCCTCCAAAACATCCCAGCCTAAGGCATATGGCCCTCCCAGGAGCAATGAGACAACCCTGGACACACAGCGAGCTCTCCACCAGAGCATTCTCCACCCCCACCAGCACTACCAGGTACCAATGGACTGAGCACCCCTCTTCAGTGCTGCCTCCTCCCCAACTGGGCCCCAAACTCAGCCCCGGGATGATGGGGAGAGCAGTCCAGTGGCATTAACTCTGGGTCAGCTAAGACCTCCCTGTGCCCCAGGGCCAGGGCCTTCCCAAGCACCAGCCCCGGTTCCAGGACCAGCCTCACAGACACCGCGTCTTTCACATCTGGACAGGCCCGTCCCCCATGGAAAAGGCGAACACTCACCATTTAATGTTCCCCAAATGCCCTCTCATCACTCATCCCCAGAACCAAACAGGCAAAGCCACCTGTCAAAAAACACTCCACGCACAGCGAACATCACCCTAAGGACAGGGCCACGAAGGGGATAACCCTCCAAGGACAAGGGAGTTGCGTTAGCAGAGGAGGCTCTGATTGAGGCCAGGCTCTCCTGGCTCCAGCTCAGCACCAAACTCACCCCTGGACCAGAGGGCACACCCACCAAGGGGGCAGGAGGATGGCTTCCCCTCACTAAGGCCCCCCGGCTGCCTAGGCTGTAGCTTCCCCTTCTTTTTGTGCAGTCTTCCTTCACCCTGTCTCCTGCTGCATTTATCTGAGGAAAGGCCCAAGGCCACTCTGCCTCTGAGAAACTCAGCCTTTTTACAACTGCAAACGGCCAGAAAAGGCCATCGAACACAGTTCTCAGCACCCACTTCAAGAACAATTTTATGGTAGAAATAATGATTCATTCATGTTTTCCAGGCCAGCGCTGGAGGAAAGGGAATCCAGCATTCTGCTTTCTCATTTAATTCCCTGCCTGCGCTAACTTGAGGCTGAACCCTGGCCCTGGGCCCTTCCTCCACCCCAATCAGCTCACCATCTGTCCCTACAGCATCCACCACATGTTTTCAGAAGCCCGGCCTCCAGAGCCTGAGCCTGAAGCAGAGCACTCAACATGGGCAAAGCAGGCAGCCCTGGACAGGCGGAAGTCAGAAGGCTATCGGGGGAAGGCAGGACCCCAGGTCTGTGCCTGCGTGATGGCTTCAAGGCACGGCCTTAGGAGCACAGTTGCCCAAGAGAAGTGGAAAGTGAGGGATGGGCGGGGCCAGCTGAGCAGACCTGGCTGCAGTCACTGATGACTTTGAGAAGGACCAATAAATCATACCAAGAGACAGGAGTCCCTGGTTCCCCTCCATTGCCTGCCAGCCTACCTACCCGACCATTCCCTGGCTGACCTTGAACAATTATGCAAGCTCCACTCCAGCTCAGGAATGAAAATCCAGCCCATACTAGAAGGGGAAAGATAGTATATCACCCAGCATGGTCTGTGTAACACTTATATAACCTCCGGCTTGGGGGGCATTACCTCCTTGACTTGGCAGCTGCATGACAGTGACAGCTGCTCTGCTCCCAGCCCCTCCAATACCCCTACAAATGCACACCTACCCCTCAAATCGCACCCTTGAACTCAAAGCATCCCAGAGCCTGTCGTGCATAAATTTATCCAAAATATGGAAAAAGCTATATGTACAAAGATGCCAAGGCCTGGCACATAGTAGGTGTTTAATGAGTAAATGCGCAATGAGCATCAAAGTGTTTTTATGGTAGGAAAAAAAAAGACACTAAATATCTGGCAACAGGGACTAAGTAGGTGACAATACGGCTCCCACTGCAGCACCACCAGGGATAAGGGATGGGGAGACCCACAACGAGCATCCCTACCCCCACCTTGGCCTGAGGAGAGCTGAACTCAGGCTGAGACCAAGAAAGAGCCTTCAGAAGTGAGCACCACCACTCTGACCTCAGAACCAAGCACGGACTTTATTCTAAGGGCCTTGGGGAGCCACGTTAGAGTGAATGACACACCTGTGTCTGGGAAGCTCACTCAACCAACACGTTAGCAAAACTACTGGTATGGGAAACGGTCACTCCCATTCACGCCAAATGGGAACACTAGGTACAGCACAACCCTCCTGGAGCCAAGTGCTGGCAGTGCCACTCAATGGAGGCATGCATTACCCCAAGGGGCAATTCCACCGCCAGGGACTCACCCACCATAGTCCCCAAAGCAAGCAAAGACAAGGATGCTCACTGCAGTGTTATTTGTAACACAAAACCAAGAAGCAATCTAAATGTCCATCAACAGGCAAAGGAACGAATAAAAATTAAGGTGCTCGCAAACTAAGGAGCACCATGTGGTAAGCAAAAAGAATGAGGTGAATGTATGCGTGGTGGCACAGAAAGCTATCCAGGATATAGTCAAATGAAAAAAGCAAGTCACAGAAAATTTGTAGTTCCATGGGATTAGAGGAACGCCTTTTCACACACACATCTGTACATGCTCACGCATTTGTGAGTGAACGGAGCCTGGGGAAGGATCGAGCCCATCTGCAAATGGGGCTGCCTCAGAGCTGCTTCTGGAAAGGAAAGGGGGTTTAAGGACGGAGTGCAGTTAAAATAAGATTTTCATTTTTTATTCTACTTCAATATTTAAGTTGTTCCCATATATTGATTTTTTTCAAGTTAAGGACAGAAAATTTAAAATTTCAACCAATGTGTCTGCAATGGAGCGACGCTGCCCTTACAAGGCCGCAAGTCGCATTCATTCTGAAAGGCTGTTGCAGCAGGAGTGCCAGGAGGAAAAGCCACCTACCAGATTCAAACCACACTGAGATGTGGGGTTAACAAGCAAGGCCCGTAGGGGGCACATTCTACTCCCAGGTGACCGCCTGTACTTTGGCCGCCCTGCCCGGAGGCAGCAGGGCAGAACTCCCTGACTTCAGTGAGCGTGAGGACTGCCGGATGCACTTGTTCAAAAGCCTCCCTCTCAGCCTTTTGCTGCCTAACAGGCAGGACAGCCTGCAGGCGCCACTGAGAAGAGTGGGCTGCTCCCTGCACCGAGCACCCCAGGACTCCCAAGGGAAGTACGCTCCTTTCTCTGCAGAGGTGCCCTCAGGTAGCAGAGCCTTCGTGCCCTCAAAGAGCCAACAACCACTGCCATGGCTGACACAGGGAGCAGGTGGCCAAGGCCCCAAAGCTCAGTCAGGAACAGCTGGGAGGAAAAGTCTTCTGAACACAGGTAACACGCAATGGGCTAAAAGACCATATTATCTTCAAGAGCAAGGGTATCCCAGGACGAGGACTAACCACCTGCAGCCCGCCTGCCACAGCATTCCCCCGCCCATCGGGGTGCCCGGGCAGCAGGACACAGTGACGGCTGGGAGGGGTAGGAGCCTGCAAGGTTCTAGGCCGCGCTGGCCTTCCCTAGCTGTGTCACTTTGGACAAGCCACTGGTAACGTATATTCCCAGGGTCTCGTTTTGCTCGTCTATAAAATGGAGCAAACAATAGTATCTCTAGGCCGGAGTTGCTGCAAGCAAAGGTAGAGCACGCAGAAATGTCCGGCACATGAGCACTCAATGAATGGTAGTGATAACCGCAATCCATTATTCTGGTCATTGTTTGCCCATCCAGATCCACTCCTCCTCCATCCTGCTCTGTGCCCCAAGACCCGGTCATTACGGACTGCAATCCATGGGCTATGGTTGGGTTTGGCCAACAGGAGGCATCAGCAGAAGGTGGGAGTGAGGCTGGGCACTCATCCCCAGGCTCGGACCTCGGGTGGGCAGTGACTACTTTCCACTACCCAAGCCCACAGTTCCTGCCAAGGGGCCCCTCCCCGTTCCAAAGGACCCCTGGGGCCACGGCCCTTGTCTGGTGTCCCACCTTCTACCCACACCTTTGCAAATGGTCCCTTCGTTATGCTTTTTATTGCCCTGTGTGAGTGCGTATCGGATTCCTGCGAGGTCCACGACCTACAAGGCAATCACCATCATCACCACCACCACCACCACCACCATCACCATCACCATCACCATCACCATCACCGTCACCGTCACCATCACCATCACCATCACCAACCTATATTTCCCGTGGGAAGGGAGAGCTGCAGGAATGCCTTTGGCTCCGCTTTTTCTCTAACACTATTATTCCAGGTGGTTTGTCAGGGCAGAACTGCGCCAGCCTATCGGAGGAACATCAGACCAAGCAGGGATTAGTGCAAAAGCAGAAAAGCAACTTCCCACGCCGGAGGCTAGCCCAGCTCTGAAAGCCAGTCTGTGGGGCCAACACCATCGGGAGCCTCCTTACATACTCTACCCCATACTTCCTCACCAGAAAGAGGCAGGCCGGACCAGCCCCTGGCTGGGACTCCAGGGTGCTGGCCAAGCCCAGGTCCCATGCTCTGGTAGCAGGTCTGTGTTTTCAGTGCAGCTGTCTTCCCCTCCCCCTTCCACATCAGGCTCAAGCGGGGGCAGCAAAGCTGTTGCTTCTATTTTAAAACACGCTGGGAGCTGGGCCACCACCAGCACAGCCTTCCACCAGCCTCAAGAGGATGTAGCTGACTTGGGGGCAGCCTGCCCACCCACCCATCAAGGAGGCCTGGGCGGGCACACAGCATGCCACACCCAGGGCTCCTGCCTGCTCCCGAGTTCCCTGGAGCCTCACACCTGGCTTGACCCGCCAGGGTTAAAATAGACGGTGGCTAGGCAGGTGGACTTCGGAGTCAAGCAGCCCTGAGTTCCGGTCCCACTCTACCTCTCTCTAGGTACGTGACCACCCGCAAGTCACAACCTAGCCGCACCTCCCTGCTGGCTGGCTGGAGGGCCGGAGGGCGCCGCAGGGGGTCCCTCAGACCTGCACCTCAATTTTTCTTTAGCTCTAATATGGGGAAAGAGCATCACTGTGAGGACTAAATTAGATGAATATAAAGCACTTAGTATAGTGGGTGGTACCTGACAGGTATGCAACAAACACAGGTATTTTATTATTTTCATTTTGTGTATTTCTTAGTATAATTAGGGCTGCTGTGCAGGTTGCTGAAAGGTCACCCTGAACCACAGGGTCCAGAATCCTCCCCGGCCATAAAGAGGCATTGTTTAGCTGAACAGTCCAGCCAGGTCCTGGAAGAAGGCCTCCCGCCTCATCCCAGGAAGACCGACCCTTCTGAACGACTCTCTGTGCCACTGACCTTGCGACAGGGGGTAACTGCACTGACCGCTGCCCACTGACAGCCGGCCTGCACCCAGCTATGGACCTGCTCACTCCGATCTGTGTAAAACAGCGGTTCTCAACCTGTGGGTCGCGACCCCTTTGGGGGTCGAACGACCCTTTCACAGGGGTCGCCTAAAACCATCAGAAAACACATATATAATTACATATTGTTTTTGTGATTCATCACTGTGCTTTAATTATGTTCACTTTGTAACAATGAAAATACATCCTGCATAACATTTACATTACGATTCATAACAGTAGCAAAATTACAGTTATGAAGTAGCAACGAAAATAATTTTATGGTTGGGGGTCACCACAACACGAGGAACTGTTTTAAAGGGTCGCGGCATTAGGAAGGCTGAGAACCACTGGTGTAAAAGAATAACTTCCCCTCTGAACAGCAAATTCTACTTTTCAAAAGGTGTTCACACTGATTAGGTCCTCACCATGGCCCCTGGAATGACAACCGTGGTGGGAAAGCACCAGCATGGGGGGGCGGGGGGGGGGAGCAGACAGGCCGGACCCCAGCCCCCCTCCTGCTGAGCCGTGTGACCCTGGGTGGTTACCTCACTTCTCAGAGCTCAAGCCTCCTGACCTGACATGATAACCATACTCTACCCCCCCTGCCCCCCCACCCCCCGCCCCACTTGTAAAATGGTGGATTCCTGTCACACATCAGAAGCCAAGGCCCCAGGGCTCTGCTTAGTAGGCCCTCAATAAACAATGACTGACGATGGATCCCACTTTCACAGTGGAGAGGCTGAGGAACAGGAACAGTGACCAGACCTGTACTAGACCCTCGGACCCCTGTCAGAGCTGTGTGGTGAGCTCTGGCTGTCTGCAGAACTCCCCAGCACAGTTCTGGTTAAAGGGCCTACATTCCCATTCACCCTCACCCCGAGAGCAGGCAGGAAAAGGGAGCGCTGTGCTCAGGCCTGGGGGAAGAGCCCACTGCTCACCTTTCTTCAGGGGCTACCTGAGCCGTCTAGGGGGAGCCCAAGGCCACAGACCCTCTGGGCACTGCGGGGCTGTCTTCAGGCCTGGCTGGCTCTCAGCCACACACATGCCTCTGTCACTACCACCAAAGATGTCACATCGTGAGAAATGCCGTCAAGGGCAAAGTGGACTGCAGTGCCTCGGAGCATTTTACCGGTAAAGGCGGGGGTGAATGAAGCCCATTACTACCAGCTTGGAGGTCGCGGTTCGCATCTGCCTAGTGTTCAGCGGGACCATAGGCCCACCAGCAACTCCTCACCGTACGGTCCTCCTGAGCCCCTATGTTTGTGCCTATGGAATAGCAGAAATAAAACTGCATACAGTAATCAACTGAGAGCAGCCCACCTCCCCAGCCAACTCCAGCAGAAGCCATCAGAGAGGGAAAAGGCACCAGGCCCAAGGCCTTTGGGAGAATTCCCGTTCACCCATGTTACCCCCCCCCCCCCGCTGCAAACCCAGAAACACCAGTCCAACAAGTTTCCACAGGACTCAGGGAGTCACAGCATGAAGATAACATGTTTAATGCAGTTATTTCAAATAAGAAACAGTTTTGCCTCTCACTGCTCCAGGGCTGTACATACGGTTGCAGCTCTTTAAATACTGTGTGTGGCTCTCTGCTAAGCAAGGCTATTTTCTGGAAGTGAGTGAGATGCACGTGTCCCTCACAAAGGATATGCAGGATCCAGGGCCTGTGGTCTGGGCCTGTGGCCACTGCATACATCCACTCAATAATGCCACAAATACTTAATGAGCTACTATAAGCCAGGTGCTGGAACAGCAAAAACCATCCTGTCAATGAGGGTGAGCTGACCCTTAAATAAAAAGCAAGTGTATGTACCTCACAGACCCTTCTCAAGTCCCACTGTGCGCCAGGTGGCACCAACCCAGGCCCTGAAAACAAAGCTGCCTGGGGCTTAACCCGGCCGGTGCAGGAACTCCGTCAGGAACTGGGATGGAGAGAAGACAGGCCCTGGGCTGCCTGCCCTGGCCTTGCCAACAGCACATGAGGCAAAGGAGCCCATCCCTGTATCTTCTCTGGAGAGAACGGTCAAGGGGATGGGGGCCTCAGATGGCACCGGCCTAGGCTTAGCCCCGGTCCGCACCCACATTCAACTTCCTGCTCCAGCCTGACCCTGCCTGTCTTAAAGGATTTTTCATGAATATCCTGAAAATTACTCAATACGTGGCACACAAATGCTTAATAATACCTAATGTTTAAAATAACAGGGGTTATGTGTGTCTTTTTAATGTTTTTTTTAGAGAGAGAAACATCAATGTGACAAACATCCATCGGTTGCCTCTGGCATGAACCCCCACCCGGATTGAACCTGCAACCTGGGTATGTGCCCTGACCAGGAATCCAACCGCCACCGACCTTGGCGTGCACTGGGCGACGCTCAACCAACCGCACCAGCCAGGGCCACAGGGGCTGCGTCCATGGAACCCTGGATTTCCAGAACAACACACGGAGCAAACCCGCCTACTGGGGAAGGGTCAGGTCCTCCTAAAAAAGCCTCCAGGGTACGGGTCATGGCTTCTAAGGGGGCCCTCCCCTTGCCAGGCGCTGTTCTGGAGGCCTCATGTGCATCGATTCATTTTATTCCTCCCAAAAACCCAACGAAGGAGGTGTAACTACTCCCATTCCGCGAATGGGAAAACTGAGGTGTGGCGCCCTCCCGGCTGTGTGACCTTGGACAAGTCACTGAGGCTTCGGGCCTCTAACCCAAAGGGCTCTGAACCGGCTTCCTAAGGGCACCGCCACATTTGGTTAATGAATGAGAGACCGAAACAGGGATCCTGCGGTACACGGAGAGGCCACATGGCTCCGGGGCCGCCTTTTCCCAGGCCCGACCTCCGGCCATGGCCCCAGCCCCAGCCCCGGCCCCGGCGGCCTAAGCCGACTCTCCAGTTCCGCCCCGATGGCGCTGGCACACGCGGACAGTGCAAGGCGCCAGCTGCTCCGGGCGTGGGTCGGACAGGGCGCGAGGGGCCGGGGGCGCGGGCCACGGTCGTCACAGGAGCTCCCCCCGCGGCGACAACGTGGCCCCCACCTGCCCGTGGGCTCGGCCC